TCTTCACGCCAGCCAAACCGACGACTCTCTCACTTCGACAATTCCCTCACTTCGGGGCACAATGTTCTTTCCAGATGCCTTAGACACAGTCTTGACGGAATTGCTAGGATTTCATCACGAAGACATCAGGTTGTCTTTCAGTGCTGAGCATCAAGTTTCCATCGCCACCCACAGTCTACCAATACACTCACAAGCTGTTCCCAAACTCTCCCACAGCGTCGACTCTCCTTCCTCGCCGTCTTATGATGAGAAATACGCGATTGGCGTCACCAAGGGATTTGACAAAGGCTTAGACGAGGAGCATCTCCAAGAGACTCCTTCGTCTGATATTGGGCCCCTCACCATCGTTGTCCGCGATTTGACACTCTCACAAGAATGTCAAAGTCGCCCTCTGCTATCACCTCGCAGATCCCTGGCTGCCCTCTCTGAGTCCAGCCATCCCTCGGCCACCGAGCGTATTCAGGCAAGCGAGACCTTGGACGGCCTCGAATCCGACAAGGAGTCTCAGGGCAACGTGCAGAGAACTTCTCAGCCTTCCGTGCAAAGGCATAACGAACCCCCCGTCGGCGACTGCGAGACCAAAGGCTCCCCCAAAAGCGACGTTACCTCGAATCGTCGCCAGAATTCTATAAGCCAGTCGGAAGCCTTTCTCCAACAAAACTCAAACACCGACTGCGTTGACGAAAGCGCAATTGATGATGATTCCGAGTCGGAAGCCTTTCTCCACCAAAACTCAAACACTGACTGCGTTGACGAGACTGGCAAAAGGTCTAGCATTGACGAGGAGACCTTTTTCCAGCGTACCGACAACAACAGCAAGCTGACCTCGCGTCGCTCTCTTATTACCATGATGGTGGTTGAGATGGACAACCGCGGAGGGGTAGGGAATGTTGCCTCTCGGTCTGTCTCAACACTTCCGTTTCGTACCAGCCACCCGGCCCTGCCTACCTTAGCCGTCTCTCCCAATGATTCCGACGACGCCCCATTAATGATGAAGCGCGATAACGGCAGGCCGCATCTGAAGCCCATCACCGAGGTGCCACGGTTTGCTCCTCGGCCTATCTCCAAGAGTGCCAGCCGCTGGTGCGAAGCAGTCCTCTCCCCCCGAACCACACGACGAAACATGCTAGCGACAGAATTGACCAAATCTGTCCGATGGAACATGCTTTGGGAGCGCGGGCAGAAGTCAGCTACTGCTAACGCAGTGCTCAAGCGCCGCCATACCTCCCACGACGTCGCGAACCTGAAGCAGTATCCCGAGATCGCCCGGACAACCACGAGGAAGGATGGTTTCATCGATGCCCTATACCTCGCTTATCACACAGGCGATGATTACAACACAAGGGGATGGTGACGTGCATGGTCGCGAGATGGGAACTCTGGAGTCACTACGGCGACAAAATCCGAATAATTATTCGATTCGCGCGACTTCGAATGGGGCCGCGGAGGCCTTACTGTACAGAGACGCGCATTGATCTGCGGAACAAGCTGAAGGAGAGATGGATTCATGATAATGCGGCAGGATTCCACGGTCACATTTGTATATACAAGAATGACAACCTTCCGATGTGTTCGCGTTCGCCAGATCCGATGATCTGGTTGCAGCCCGCGACGAGCGCACTCGGCATTTCTTCGGATAGACCGCAATCGCTTTAGGCACGAACTAGCATGGCAAATGATGAATCATTGAATGGGAAACATGAAGAGAAGCCCGATTTCAAATGTATGGGCCGTTGGAACTGAACATTGCGCAAGGCAATGCGCAGTGGGATGGCCCAAGGCATGTGACCGATGCTGATTCCAAGGGTGACGCGACTAAGGTCCAGGCATTTCCGCTTTGCACGGCTCGCGTACCTATAGCGCATAAGACAGGGCTGATTCATGCCTCCTCTGAGGCGGAATCTCGACCAGAAGACAGCATTATCTTCGACGGCTGCCCATCTCACAGCCTCTCAATGACATACTACGCTTGCAAGAACGGATTTCATGGTGATCAGCAAGACGAGAAGTCAAGCACCGGTGAGATTTCCCTTTAGCGCATGAGCCCAAAGTCAACCTCTCTTCGCGCCGCTCACGGGTCACCGATGTAGTCAAGCCAAGCGACCACAACCGTACCACCTCAGTGCTCGTCCCAGTACTCTTAAGACTGGCGATTGGATCACCTGCCAAATGATGTTTGCCATATTTGTCCCAAATCGGAATGAGAACGTACGTCGTCTTTTCCAGACCCTCTCACCGAGGCGCCTCGACATCCTGTCGAATTCACGCTCGAACAAAATACTCGGCAACAAAGACATCTCGGTAGAACCCTAGGACACATGTTCGCTGATCTGGCGATGGAGATAGTGGGGCTCACTCTGCCGGCGCTAGAAAAAGATTCACTACGACTCAATTCGTATGCCCTGAAATGGTCGCTAGCTCCAAATGTTGCTAAATGTAAAATTGAAAGCATAAGTATCGTACCATCCCGGAACGTTACCGACTCGTCATTCCATGAACGCCTCGGGGGGATTCATGGGAGTCAATGGCATGGCGGATAAATCCTTCTTGAAGCAGTCAATATCAGTGAAGCGGGTTGAGTTTGACGTGGTAGACATATCGAGTTTTGTCTTCTCCGAACCGTCTGCTCGTGCAAGAAGGTGGACCGAAAGCTTCCCTCGTGTCAGAGACCCTGGCTTCATGTATTGCCGACAGAATTCGACGATGTCATCCAGAGTGAACGTCTTAATGCACTCCGCGTCTTTGCAACCTGGAAATCAATGAGCTCTCAATCAGGCGTGACGTGAAGAAGTAAACTCACGGCCTTCAAAGTCATAATATTTGCTTTCGATCTGTCCCCAGGTCCACTTGCTCTCTTGTATGAGATTCCTAGGCTTTTGAAGGCATCTGAGAATCAAACTTCGCTTGTGTTTGTCAAAGTCGGCCTCGGACATGCCGTGCAGGACATCACAGAAGAAGCGTAAGAATTCTTCGATTCTTGACTCGAGGTAGGCCGGTCTCTGCTGGCTCTGAATCTTAAAGCTTATACCGCAGGTAGAAAAGAAACTTCGGAAGTCGCTGTCGACCACATATCCCAACTGCTCCTTGGTTCGCAGCTGGTCGAGCACGGGTCCTCGTACCATCTGATGAAAGAGCATCGCCTTGGCCCTCTTCGATCGGTCGCTGTTATCACCAACATATAGAAACATTTCGATACAGTGGTTGACGTTGTCCGGGTCCTTCAGCGTCTTCTCATAAAGGAACTCCGATCCCTTGGGTATGATCAGGGATTGAGAGACAGGCCGCTGTGTTTCGAGTGTTTTCGGCGGCCTCAAAGTCGCCGCAACCAGGTCTGCCAGGCGATGAGCCTCACATATCTGCAGATCGCCATGTGCGTAGATCTCAAGATGCATTGGCGCCAGAAGCTTCTTTCGGAAATGGCGAACGTCGTCGATGGTAACGCTCGCCACATTCTCCCGAAGCGTTTCAACGGCATGCCAGGGTTCGGAATTGAGGCAGCCCGTAAGGTACCAAACCTGCTTATAGGGCTTGTCTAGCTCGTCATTTTGATACTCTAGGGTTAGATCCTCTTTGATCATGTCAAATCTCGTCTCGGAAAACTCTAGACGACTCACAGCGTCGAGAACGTGCTTCAAGAGACTGTCGAGTTTCGCCTCATACCCAGAGATTGTGAGTAGCAGCCCGTGGCTGGAACGGTCAATGCCAAATCGAAGACCTGCAAGCGTGGCGTGAAAGTATTCTGTGTACAAATGGTCCATCATGAGATTGACGAAGAGTCCACTTGTGACAGCATCTTGGGGGGTCGAATAAATATCCGGATGCCAGCATTTGATCGTAAACGTGGCTTTGGGCTCGTTAAAAAAGTCACTCTCCTTCCACCATACCCGCATAGTGGATTCGTTCCGAATGAGTCTTGGTGGCGTGGAGGACCCGGAGCGCTTTTCCTTGTCGAGGTCGATGATGACGGGAATTAAGCTGTTGCGATGGGGAAAATGAAGCTTACTGGTTTGTTCGGGGTCCATACATGACGCAGCCTCCTTGATGTCTTTCATGAAGTCATCAGGAATCTTCTCCCAAAAATATTCAACTCCATACCACCTTTCCTGCTTCCAGCTCTCCTCTTGGTTGTAGCCTTCAGGCAACTCCTGCGACACAATGGTCATGCGGAAGTTGTCTGGCCTTAAGCATGCTACACACCTCTCGATGAGGTCACCGTCAAAGGTGCGCAGTAGGGAATGGCCGCTAAGCAGCCACTCACGCGGCATAGGCTCCTGCATTAGTGCACTGATTGTACAAGCAAAGGTTGCCTCGTCTGTCTTTTCCGGGTACTTGAAGTTGACGTCGGCCATACTCTTGATCTCATCAAAGATCCACTCCGGAGGGGGTGACTCCCGGAGGAGTGAAACATATCGGAAAAAGACGAGAACCACATGCTTGTAGTTCTTGATGCCCTGTGATGAATGTGAGCCTCGAGTTCCAGGATTCAAGCATGGGGTTTTAAGTTCACCTCCTCAGTCAGACGTATGTCGCAATGGAAGATATCAGGTGTGCCATCGCACACAGATTCCGCATACGCGCGTAACTCATTGGACCATCCCTTCTCTTTAAGGTAGGCCGTTATGCTTCCCGGTCCCTTATGGCCGATCAAATGGCTGATGTACCGGTCAGGCTGCGAAGTGCACGTCTGTCTATGCTCGGGAAACGGAAAGCGCAACCTCAACTCGCGCAGGTTCATGATGGGCTTAGCGAATACCTGTACACCTAGCTCACTTTCACGATAGGGGAACTCTTCCTTCCACCGGTTGGGGACCAAACTCTTGTTCTGAATGCCAGAGAACATTTCTGCGACCCAGTTCTCCAACACGTTCAGAGGCTCCCGTCCCAATACTACCAACTTCATCACATTCGCCGAGTAATGCCTCTTCCAGAAAGCGACCAATCGATCTCGGATATCAATGCCCTTGGCCTCTGGTTGGGTCTGAAGAACATCAAGATTGCCGGTAGCGAAACGATGGTAAGGATGCTTGTGATTGGAGAGGCTTTTCTCGACTTGTTCCAATCGCCAAGAATCTAGTTGCGTGTTCTTTTGATGCTCGGAGTGGACAGCCTGCAACTCTCGGTCGATGGTATCTTTGGAAAAGAGGGGCGAGATAAAATTCTCGGCAAAGCGGTGGAGGGCCTCCTTGAGGGGCGAGGGGTTCGTTGAAGACGGCTCTTCATTATTTTTAGGCTTTGCTGCCACTTGAAAAACGTATTTCGTAGATGTTGGCATCGTGTGAGCGTTTGAGTAGCCGTTGTTAACGCCCAGATACTCAAAGAATCCGTTTTCCGCAGGGAACTTTTTGTTGCCCTTGGACAGTAGCTGTGAAGTAGGCGTCAGTTGATCATTCTTAGCATGTAAAGGATTCCGACGTCTCGGCTTCATACATGCTCCACGGCGTGAGCCATGCCAGGCATATCCTCTTCGTCACTGAAACTCCCAACATGGACATTAAGGGAGGCGCTAGCATTGTCTGTGTCTGGATCATGAGCTAGAAGAACTTCAAGCTCGTTGGGTAGTCGAATGACACGACCTTCCCGCTCATGGCGCAAAGGTTTTTCGAGGCGATCCGTGATAAGTTCAACGGTTGCTGTGTTGGACACCATCGCTGCCGACCGTGAAGTGAAGCAAGTGAAGTGTTGCGAAGACCCGGGTGTAATGGAGCTCAAGCGTGAGGCAGGAGGAATAATCTCTTAGGACCTGTTGGTGTTTTCGACAGCCTGAACGCGAGACAATGTGTGTTTGTAGCGTCCATACATGGAAGCCCAGAACAAGTTCAACACACAGGAAGAGAGCATCAGGCTACGAAGCAAAGAAAATGGCTCGTGGTCATGGTTATGCTCGTAGTGCGCCCGCTATCTGACTCATCTGAGCCGCACTGCTATCCGGGTTGGGACACGATGCCAGTGGGTCGCGTGTTACAGACTGCACCTACGTGGCCATTTAGATGCACTTGGTAGCGTGAAGTCCACATTAACCCTGCGGAAGAGCATCCCATTCGTGGCAGGCGCTCTTTCGCTGTCTCATGGAGTCACCAAAGATCATCTCGGTAAGCTTTCGTCACTTAGGTGTGAATGACCAGGAATCATATGCAGCAGCAGGCCTCGACCGTGGTCGCGCAGTGCGCAGGGACAGGGCTGTGTTAAGCAAGACCGTCCATCGAGGTTTGGTCCGCTGTGGTATGCGAGAGGCTTTCTGACCGTGAACGTATCAGGCTGCCTTGGTTGTTGCCACGTTGACAGCATGTAAAGCCGCCTGGCCCATTGTGAGGGCCTCTTATGAGACCGAAGCAGCGAAAAGGGGCCGTGGCTTGGCTTGGGGGGAAGTGAATATTCGGACACAAGTATCATTTGAGCGAACCGCCTATTTCAGGTCGATCTCAACATGGCTGGTGGCAAACAAGCACATGCAAGGTCACTACCCGCAACGAAAGCACTACATTCAAGCTGCAATCCTTGTCAAAAGCATAGTAGAGCACGAGAAACGTGAGAGTAAGCGCGCTTCGACTGTGACAAGCTATGATGGCAAACTCTCAGCCTCAATAGGCGCAGACCCACACGAGCGTAAGGCGGGCGTACAGACAAGATTAGTGGGGTGTAATTCCAGTGCGCTGATCTCCAGTACAGGTTCTGCACTCCTCCGAGTCCTGGGCATGTATCCCTGGCTCCTTGTCGGCGTTTTTGGTGTCTTCTCACCCAGCCCTCCCGGGTTCGATCAGGACCCGTTCGCAGATATTCATGGCATGAGTACGCAAAACGCCCGCTGAAACTTGCTTTTATGCTTCACACAAGGGTACGTAAGTAACGTTGCTAGCTCGACACGGAAGCACTCCGTGATTTTTATGCTCAAGGCGATTGGAGGGAGGTCAGAGCCACCAAGGCTGGCGACTTGTTTAGCCAGCCGAGCAATAATCAGCCAGGGCATCTTTAGGGATAAGTGATCGATTCATCCGACGTAGGCAACAACATACCATGTCAGAGAGCTCTCTCTTGCACCGAGCGGCTGCTGAATGTCACATTCATATCCTCGATTGGCGAAAGTGAAGCCTACGAACCAGCTCATCATTATCCAGTTCATCATAACCTTGCAAATATATTCCACACCCGCAGCAAGTCTCGTCCATCTCGTCAGTGTCGAACTTACTCGACAAATAGACGTAATTGAGGAAGAGATTAATACAGACGCGAACATACTTTACCTTACCGGGCAGCGATAGAGAGTTTCCCGTTCTTCGTAAAGCAGTTCCAGAGCTCGAATGAGAGGGAGTGCTTGTATCGCACTCTCGGTCCACAACTGACCGCCCTTCGGCTGCCAGCCTGTCTCAGGTGCCTGGTGAGCTGGCAGCTAATAAGTAATTACTGCACTTGGTTTGGTCAAGGTGTAGAGCCCAAGACATATACTTGATTGTATGCTGGCTCGAAACCCTGCAGTGCTTCGTTGTTCCGGCCGCGGAGTGGACGAGATATGTTAAGGGCCGCTCGCTAGGTCAATAGGATTCATCTACCTATCTCCATCACTACCTTTACCGCTAGATAAGGTAAAGTCAACGAGTCTATTTAGCATGCAATAGGTGACTCAAACCCATGTGCCCTATCAGCACCGTCCACGCACAACAGATGCACCAGGACCCTTACACTTTGCCCCAGCCGCGGAGGCTTGGCCAGCATACGACCATGTCTCGTCTAGGTACGGTGACAAAAGTGAGGCTTCTTAGCGCCATTCTCCGCTCATGAAAAACACACAGAGAGGAAAGCGGCTGGCTGGCGATGTCAGAATTACAACATGTTATTTTGCTATCAGGCAAAAAGCACCGATAAGGGGCGGGTTTTGGGCCATAAAATGCTCTAGTATCCCCCCAGAACACAGTAAGTCATCTATCTATGCCAGTCGGTACAGTCACCGCACAAGACAGATCATGTTGGTCCCTTCAGCTGAGGAAACCGAGGCCGGGCATGGTACCAACGCAAGAGGCTCTTCGCATGCGTCTGCGGAAGCCGGCTCAGGGCGGCTCGGGATACAGGTGAATGGTATTACTCATATAAGAGTAAACACCGAAAAAGTTACTCGGACACAGCACGAGGCTCCACCTTTTCAAGTGAGTCGAGGCTTCTGAATATAGCATAGATACTGATGATTTCCGAGGCACCAGCAGGAAAACCGCTTCATGTCAATCCCGAAAGAAGCACAAGAAGACGGGGGGACTTGGGGAAGCATGGCAACGCAAAGGCTGATTTGAGACGAGGTCTATGGCTCTTTCAATCGGCTGTCAATGACGAAGCGTTGAATTCGAGGATTGCGGAAACCAGTGGCCATGATCCTCGGGAGATTTTGGCAGCGGTCTCCAAGTTGGAGGATGACAAACTCTTTATTGCCAAAGAAGGATTAGCTTCCCCTCCAGAGCCAACGACTCTGTCTGGCTCGAATGTAAGGACATTGAGATGTTTCGAAAGCTCCCACGTTCTAACTGAAAGTTACACAGGTCACAACTGCGCTCTTGCCTGCTGGAGCTTGGTTGAGTCCGGCGAAAACTCCGGGGATGATGCCAGGTCCCGTTCGCTACTCCAATCAGGTCAATGAGGGCGGCGGCAACCAATACAACGGGGATTTTAATATTTACTATGGCCTTCCAGAGACGTTCAACGGCAATCGAAGTCTTGATGTGAGTCGGGACTTTCAGTTTTGTTTCATCATGCTGACACACATCTAGACGGTATCCAGCCCGAAAGGTGAACTGGAAATTCCGGCTCTTCCCAAGTCCGGCCCTGACATAGAGGATGTTCCTTCGCGTGATTGCGAATCCGAAGATGCAGGCGACACCTGTGTCGGAAATGGAGGCATTTCGATAGCGCTTGACAACGATACACCAGCTTGCCGGAACGAGGCCGTTGATCACCAAACCCCCCAGTACAAAGGGGTAGAGGAGCACCCTGATGTCGGCACACAGCAACTTGTTAAGCCCAGCACGTCTGGAGAAGGTAGTCCCTGTGACAAACTCCTGCCTGGTCTTCTCAAGGATCAGAATGTTCGACTGGTGGGACCGCATCTTGAGGGACGCGACGCAGAAGGACAACTGAATCGCTTCAAAACCCTTCGAAAACCAACTGCTGCAATCTATGTGGACGATGCGAACGAATGCCTCACGACAATTGAAGGAATTGTGGCTCATGTGGAACGTGGATCGGTCTTGTGGTGTTGGGAATGTCGAAAATGCACGGAGTATAATTTTACGTTGGGTGGCGGCGAGCATCACGGAGCTTTCCTTCGGCGCATTAGCTAGCCTAATTACCGACGGCCTTCTCGGCATTAGAACGCAATACATCGCTTTTGATTTCCACTGACAACTACCTGCCGTCTTATCCGATGGTTAATTACTGCTAAACTTCCCATTAGGCTTCCATTCTGTGGATTCATTGACCCACGCAGACCATGAACACTCTAGACTATCTGTTTGCGGGCTGCGAACATAATTTTGCCAGAGCTCTCCAGGTCTACATGATCCGTGCTGGCGGTGCAGGCGCAACCTAGGACCAGTCTCCAGAAGACTGACGGGAACATTGAGCCGTTCAGGCTGGGCGATTCAGATGACCAATATAGCAGCCAGCACCGTTTATCAACGGTCTGGATGCTTGACACAAACATCAATGGCATATCGCATCTTCCAGGCTACCGTCTTGGATTCGGCTACGCGGTATGAGATGAGTTCGCAAACGAGCCTTCAGCCTTCAGTGATGAGGAATAAATCTGAGGGCAATACATGCTTCTTCTGCTTTGCAAGTGACGGTTCTAGCCTGGCGGTCAATTTCCGCCACCTCGATGAGCAACGGCGCAGTGTAGGCGAATGTCACCAAGACGAGTGACCCGTGGCTTACTATGTCTCAAACATGCAGTGTCGTGGCCTACATGCGGTGTGGCACACTGTTGACAGACAAAGTACAGCTGTGTGCGTAATGACTCAAATGACTCAATTCAATGTAACGTGGAATGGTATAATTGATTACAAGACCCAGAGCCGTTCAAATCGAACCCGATCTTTCTAGATTGTCCAAGCTGCAAGAATCAAGTCTTCCCCCCGTCCACACAACGATTCCTACGATGATGAACATCCCCTGTGTTCAAGATCAACTACATAGAGGTACACATTTCTTGCTTGATTTGGGAGAGAACCATGCTAATCGGTTCTCCTCGGTGGTGCAGTGGTTACCAGACAAGACCTCGAACTGCCTTCTCACCCGCAAACATGGGCTGGTAAGGCCGGAGTGAAGGACCTGTGGCGTTGCGTGGGTGGACCTCAACTTGTGCAGCTGGCATTCGGCCTGACATCATTGTAATGTGTATGCGGCCACGGGGGTATGAGCATTAACCTCGCAAACTGCGGATATTGTAGTGCCCCCAGGCGCTCCAATTGTCAAGTGATCCACGTCAAAACCAAGTTCACAGAGCTCGCTGGCGGTGGCATCGGCTCCTTATTACCAACTTTGTGGCAGCCTCGGCCGTCTACGATGATTCTTGGCGACTCCGTCGACAATTTGTAGGACGTCACCGCATCAACCACAAGAAGTAGCAATCAGAAATACACATCTTTTCCAACATTATTTTTCACATTTCGCTGGCCTTAATACCAGTTGATCATTAAGCCTGATATAGAGACAATGCGGCTGAACCGGCACCTCCTGGTGCTCGAATGCTGACATCAATCTTCCTATATGGGACAAGGGATGCCTCGTTGTGGTGTGAGGAAAAGCAAATTGCGAACCGAGATCTCTCCCCTCACACCCCGTAGTCACCGACTTCTCTTGTCGCCTCAAACTCCTTCGCTACCTCATTTGACAGCGCCTCACACACGGGCCAAGTCTGCCAGCACACACTTCAGTCACCCGCTCCTGAAGTACTTGGGCCGTCGATCAGCTGCCATCGTCTTGCCCTCAGCGAAAGCTGACTCACAAATCCACTATAAATCTAAGTCTGCAGTCTCCCGATACGTGCGTCTCAACACACTGAGGTTCACGCAAGACTCCCTACGAGCGCGAGAGCGGACCATCACCTGGCGGCAATTCTCAACAAAGGTAATTGGTCTCTATCTCTGGGCCCAACGGGCCTTGGTCTGATCAAATTGAAATCAACATGGCCTAATTGACTGACTGGTCAGAACCCTCGATGACGCTGCAATTTCCTCTACGTATGAGACCGCAGGAACACCATGTCGGACAACACTCTTGCTATGCACGATGCCAAATGATCGACCAGTTGTCCGCCCTTCCACTTGGGCAGCCCCAGAGTCTAGGACCTAAAACACCGAAGGCATACGTCTGGACATGCGTAAGTCGTTTGAGACGCAGTATTTATCGGCCACGACTGATGCATAACGATAGTGCCGGTGCGCCTAGGGAGGGCAGGCCCTGGGAAATGGGCAATGTTGCAATTGTGGAGTTGGACGATGTGGATATTGTCCAGTCAGCAGTTATAAGAGCAGGACTACTATCGAAACAAGGTGTGCGATCAGGCTTCTTGAGCTCTCCTAAATCGTAACCTGTTCTAAATCATCGATCTACGGTCGTACCGAATTCTGGAGTGATGGCCCGTTCAGTTATCAATTGGTGCACGCAGCATAATCGAACGCGGGTCGTCCTCGAGCCGATGAAGGCCATTGTCGGGCCTGGATGACGTCCATTCTGGCGCCCGACTGTATCCGCCAGAAAGAAGAAATGGGGAATTGCAGGGCCGGTGTGATGGGGTCAATCCCTTTGCTACAAGTCAAGTGGGGCGTCCTTAAACACACAACCAAGTACAGTGTACGTGACACTGAGCCTGGAAGTCGCGACACGCCCCCGACTTTCCACGGACAAGGGTGTCGGTACCGCCTGCTCGCCTTCCAAGCAACCCAAATTGGGTGGCCTTGGCGCCGCAACAGGGGCCGCTACGCGTGGCAGACCACCAATCACACATTGCCTAGCAAGCCAGATCGAACCTAATTTTGTGGTTGTTTGCCAACGACGCGCCAATCCCTGTCAGATCACCTTCCCTGCCCTCCGCCGGAACGAGCCTGCCAGGGTCCGGCGGCTTCTTTACAGCCCGTGAGTGCTTCATCTTCCCCAAATCAGCTACCTCTTCTGTGCAGCTCCACTGTAGTCGACCTGTCAAGTGTCGCTGCAGCGGGAAACACGCGAAACCACTGCCTGTCCTGGAGAGTGCTTGATCCTGGGAAGCTTCTCTCCTTCCCTTTCCCTGCGTTAACGGCGCTATGTAATGAACACCGCCGGGTGACTCCGGCTGCCAGACCGCATGGAAGTGGGTCGATACCTTTGGGGGTGTCAGGGCTTCGTGAAGTCGACAAGGGACCGTTCCCTGTTCCGAGGCCTGGCTCAGGGCCGTCCTTCGGGCCACTCCTAGTGATTCGTCCTCGGTGTATACGGAGGAGCCATGCCGTGATCATTGCTGGGAACGTGATAATGCGGGCGAACTTCGTAAATATCCCAAACTTGATGCCTCTAACCTCCGACCTTTCATTGAGTCGTCCTTCGAGCTAGCAAGGTCTCTGAGAGCTCCTTGCAGCATCCTCCTTCGCTGTGTGAGGGCCCCTCAGGCCTGAACCGTTCCAACAGGAACTCCACGAACGGCCACTGGGATGCGTAGCCCAGGCCTAATCTCGCTATTCGTGACCAGTCGCGGGACATCCGGTGATTTGAAAAGCAAGCCTCTCAGCCGGGACCGCAGAGAAGGTGGGCCGTCGGCGTCAGCTCAGCAGGCACTGTCCCCAGGAAATTTCCTACAATCCCCCGCCTGATACATGCAAGGATTACAATCAGCTTCATAGCTATAGTTGTAACAGGAGTAATGGGTCTCATCACGCGGATGGTTGGCTATACCCGGAAACATACGGATAGCAATAGCGAACCAAACCAATACGAGACCGAGATCTCTCAAAATTTGTGACTGGGGTAATCAAAAGGCGTCCAAGCTAAGGGACTTCATGTTTATCCCTCTCACCCACTGCTAGCTCTCATCTCATATGCGTATGAATGATGTAGGTGGTCCGGGATGCTCAAAAGAAGGACATCTCCCCAGTTGTGAATTCCCGCAAACCTCCTGGCAGTCAGCGTGTCAGCTCACTCGCCCTCTTGTCCTTCATGGCAACTCCAATCCAGCAGGCTGGGCTACTGCTCTTTCTGCCTGTTGAACTTCTAATTAAAATCTGTTGCCGGCCAGATCTTTCCATTAACGACCTGAAATGCGTTCGGCTAGCCAACCGAGCCTTTTACACCAACTCGACTTCCCTAATATTCCATCGTGTCTTCATTTCGAACTTGCGAAGGGACCTTGAGGCCTTCAAACATATCACGTCTACGCCTCACATCGCTTCTGTTGTCAGAGAAGTTGTCTTCCTCGAAGTTCCTGATTTCATCACCTACGAACATGAGCTTCAATACAGCAGGACAGGCCTGGACGCAACACCCAACCAGTTCGCTTTATGCCATAAAATCGCCGACAATTTCTGCAAGCCTAACGAGCCATACTTCGCGTCGAATTATCCTGACCGACACACCAGGCCCCTTATAGATGCGGTATCAGTCTACCGCCATCTGTTAGGGTCGATGTCAAAACTCACCACGTTAGCCTCAGAGCCAATCAGCACTACTCGATTGCTAGTCTTTGGAGCCGATATCGAAGACCCAACCGAGACGAACCGAGATGACTGTGAAGCTCTTATTAAAGATGCGACAGTGGACTATACCTCGTTTCCTGTTGTTGGATTCCGGGCCGTCTTCCCTCCCCTTCTTTCTTGCCCAAAGCTGGGGGTTTCAAGCCTAGTCTGCCGAGGGATGGGCATGAAGCTGTTTGAAGAGTACGGAACTGAGGGCCCACAAGCTCTCCTTCCCAGCCTTGCTCATAAAGGCCATATGGGTGTGAATAGTTTCGCGAGGCTCACATCCCTCGACCTGGATTTCACCTGGCTTATACCTGGGGATCTCTCCGAATGCCTTGCTGCCGCCGCTGGGCTACGTCAATTGCTCCTACGTGTGCAAAGGATGCAAGGACCTGAGGCCCTCAGAATTCATGCTAGTCAAAAGGACAAGTTCCATTTCAGAAAGCTGTTCTGTACAAATTTTCCCTGGAACAGACTCGAGGACATGCGGATCACCAATATCCCATTTTCCGATGGAGATCTATCCGCTTTTGTATTGCGTCATCCAAACCTACGACAGATGCATGTAGACGACCAATCCATCGATCTTTCTGAGACCGAGCACCGGATGAAGTGTTTGTGGAGTGTATAACAATTATAGATAATGGAAGTAAGAGTTCGGAGGGCCATGCTCTGATATTCAACACCAGCCTCCGAGCCTACACATAATATGTCGTGTACTCTACGGAGCAGCATTATTCAGAAGTACAAAAGTCTCAGATCATTCTCTTCATCACTGAAACGTCCGTCTCGCGCGCAATGTCTTTATCGAAAGCCGCCCCGTGTTTAAGCAACGTGTTGGCTATACCCATATCTCCGCGCCGAATCGCTCATGACAGAGGCTTCCTACCTTCTCCCCCCCTTGGTTCCAGGATCAGCCCCGTTAGCGAGCAGAAACTCTACGCATCCATCAAAGAGTTGGCACAAGCAATAGCGTGTTTTCAACATCGTTTCCAAAGTCAATCGAGTCAAACTCTTGGAGAAAACTAACGACCATCTGTCCCAGTTGCAGCCCGAGAACCATGACTCTAACCGACCCAGTAAAGGCTTCTCCGGAAGCGATAGTAAAATACTTAGGAATTATTGGCTTGCTAGACTCAAACTGGACGTGTCCAAATTGGTGCAGAGTTGCATCTATCAGAAAGGTCAACGCACCGGGAAACACCCGCAGCCTTCCGTGGCAAGTAATCAAGGAAATGGGACAAGATTTTCCGAATGTTTTCAACGTTATGAGCACGAGCTGCAAAATCCAGAGCGTCCAGGAACTTTTGTGTCGGAGCGCCGATAGTCTCAGTCCCTTTCATTGGGACGTCTGCGTCGTCGGCTCGGCCTGATTGGATGGCTCTCATAATGGGATTGCTCTCGCTACCGTATTCAAGCAGTGAGCAACCCAACGCGATAGAAATGTAGTATGCGCTATCTAGCCAGCGACAAGTGTGACGTGTGATGTGGTTGTTCAAGCTGTCGATGAACTAGTTGATAGACGATGAGAGTTGCTCGGTGTTCTTGCCCGAGAAGAGTATTGCATGAGCGCGTACAAAGGCTGCGTCAATCTCCTGCAGCCTGGTCTGTGTGCCATTGAGATGCGGGTCGAACAGAGTCATGATTGACTCGCGAGCAGACAGGAAGGGAAGTGGCACGCAGAGAGACTTCGTGTAGTAGAAGAGCTGCTGCAGAGCATTTGGACGAGCCAAAATAGCGAGGTGGTGGTAAAGACGACCCGTCTGAGGAGCCTTATCACTAGCTTTTGGATACCAATGGCGAGAGACTGAGGTCCAGACCTCTCTATCCTTAAGATCATCATCTTCAATAGTCATCCTGTAATAAAGGTCAACACGTATGGAACAAGAATATTGGTCACATTCTCTTGTCTTGAGTTTACTGACCGATAGCGGCTCAAGTCGCCAAGCCATTCAATCCAAATGTTTTGGAACGTTGGAACAGTCTCATACAGCAGAGTCATCATAGATCACGCCAAATAAATGAACGTAAGCATATGTTCGAGCGAGGCGGGCAGACGATGACGCAAAAGCTCCAAGAATGAATGAATCCCATGCCTCCACATGCGCTCCAACATTGCGTGCTTGCTCGCGAGCCGTCGCAATGCCGGACTGGCTAAAGGATGCTGAGAGGCAAGGAAGAAATCGTGGTGTTCATGTAGCAAAGTTCGATGTAGATCGATCAATGCCTGCCACTGCTCATTGTTCAGCTTGGGATTGGTCTCGTTGTTTGAACTTTGAGCGTTGTCGACTTCGATACACTGTGACTCGATCATATCGAGTCCAGCGTAGATGCCCTTCACCTCAGCAACAAGTTGTTCTTGGCTGATAGGGCGCGTCTCTAGCTGCTTGATTAGTACCTCAGCGTTATCAAAGTTCGAGAAACGCGGATGCTCGAACGACCGATCAGAAGCTGCTCTGGGGAGATCGGACCCATCTCTCTCCTTGTATCGCCCGCCGTCGGTCCGTCGAGGCGCAGATTCTTCTTCCTCAGGAGTCCATAATCTACCAGCCTTGTGTGCCGGGTCTCTTTGGAAGTCAGTGTCCTCAGCATAGCTGGCATCAGAAGCCTGTGGTTGCTGTCGAGCACGACTACGCTTTTGATGCGAAGACCCATGACCCCCATCCTTCCTCTTATTCTTTTCCGAAGATGGGCTGCTAGCCTCTTGACTGTCATGACCAGCCACAGATTCATGAGAACTCGGGTCGTCTTGGTCTATAGGCTCCTGTTTTGAGGCAGTTGATTCGAGCGGAGGTTGCGGCTGGTTTGACTTGGCACGTGTTCGCTGGCGGTATTGATCCTAAGATAGTGAACGTCAGCGTTGAAACAAATGGCTCTGCGAATAATGATATTACTGTAACCATGTTCTCTCTACTAAATCGGTTTGTTCGTTGTCGTGCCTGTCGTGATCGCGGTCCGTGAAATGTTGCTCCACATCGCTTTTCGTGGGGCTGACAGGAAACGTATGATCATTGCAATATGTGCATTTTCGTAGGTTCGAGTCGTTGGCACGCTCGTCATTGGTACTGCGCTTCGAAAGATTGAGACCCATCCCATGCGAAATTTTCGTCAGGTTGAATGTTTCCGCGTATGTTACGGCCAAAATCCGTGCAGGGACAGAAGGGGCGAGGGTGCTTCGGGCTAAAGTAATTCCCTAACGTGTTTTGGGTCGACCAGATTCTGGAGACGACAAACCAGCAATAGAAGAAGAAGGCCCTAGATACCTTCTATACTATGAGAACTTCGCTGTTCTCCTGAGATGAGCTGCCGTTGGTCTGCGAGTGATTAAGTACTGGAGCTCAAGTCTCCAAACGGAGGTTATTCAAATCCTTTGTATCATCCTAGATTGCGAGCCTTTATGGGCGAAGGCAGCGACGAGGCGGTTGACAGCGGGTGGGCGACCCATTCCGTCCTGTGTTCACGCTCACACCCCCAGCGGGGTTCGAGGCACACTTGAGGCGTTAATATGGACGCCCTGTATGCGGCTCTTCTGTGGCGAACCATGACTGCGGACCAGCCGTGGTTGGGATTCAGTTCCCCCTCCCTCTTTCGGTTTATTGAATAGAACTCCCCTTAAGACTTGACCATGGAGTTGTTTAACGCTAACGTAGGATACGTTCTGCCAAACAGAGATCTACTTTTTTCGTCTTTGCCGTCATTGATGGTGACGGTGTTATCTCTCTAGAAATTTTGGGAAGCGTATCGAAGGAGGTACTGAAGCCAGGTACCTCCTGCAGACAGCACCGAAGCCTCCGCCAGGCCACCAACTCCGAACCGAGAGGTAAGTGTTCCGAGTTGGTAGCGACAAGGATTTCAATAAGCTCTACGATAGCAGAGCGTCAGATGTGCTATCATCCGGCCGCGTTATTCGCCAGCAAGCGTCTCACAGCTTGTCCACAGCGCTGTACGCATATACTCCTCGGGTTACTCACCGCACTGCCTCTTCTCTCTTTGACCTGAAAGCATCCGTATATATTTCGTTATGACACGCTGTTGTTGCCTTGGTATACGTCTGCTGCCATTGAGATGTAAGTCCTAAGGCGTATGACTGGTCTGGCGCCTAGCATACACTTCGGTTCGACGAGGAGACGCTGGCCTTCCCGATTATCAGGTTCCTGCAAAGTCCAAGGATCACCAGTGAAGAGTAAATTCGTGGCAGCTGGGTTAGATTAGATTTCGTTTGGTTGGCGCTAGACTGACATTTGCTAACGTTGCATTATTTGGCGTGGTTAAGCGACGACAAACATCGTCAAGCAGACGTGATGGACCACTTAAGAAAACTTGTGGGGCACGAGGGATGAGGCGTTGGAGCTTGTTTACTGTGCACAGGGAGGTACGATCATTGGTCAGTGCACGACAAGCTTGTGGGTAATGGAATCGTCGAGGTGGGTCCACCATGCTGGAAATGGTGTTGGGCCATAGGGCGAAAGGGTTTCGAACATACGCCAAGAGTATGTACATAGCATGGGTGCACAGGGAGACACCCCCAGCACGCCCCGGTGTCAGCGGCCATCAGACACTGGGGCGTGCCAGTATGCGGAGAACGGTACGCAGTGTGTTATCAGGGGGTGTGCATGGCCGCGGTGTTACGCAGGATAATCCCTGAGCACCCATTACGCCCACTCATTCCCACCCCATCCCACCCCACCCGGCTGACAGGCCATACACAAGCTGAGGGCCCTGAGTTTTTCAGAATCTTGATGACTTGATTACGCCAAGTCCTGACAGAGAGCCCTCCACCGCCGCGGGGCAAGCTGATTCCGCCTAGCGAAAGCTGGAGTAATTAGAAACGGTCATCGTCAATCCTGGCAGGAAGCTCAGTCACCAATCAGTCCATCCCGAGTTCGCAAGCATTTCTGTTTTTTGCCAATCGATCTTTATTAGAGCCAACGCCATTGTCAAGATGACCATCTGCCAATGACTTTGAACAGCCCTTTCAACAGGAAGCGATGCTTCATTCCCGCTGTGCCTCGAAGCTGGGATACTGGCCTGGGCCAGCCTAGGTAGACTTTGCTCTATAATGTCACGTAGGGCGATGACAACCACGAAATCAGCAACTCTAGTTTCTGCTGGGCAGGCCTTGACGAGGCTCGCAATTAGCACCTTTCCTAAGAGAGGGCGGAATAAATGTTGGGCTGTACTCTGATGAACCGCGTCATAAGAGCTTGTAACGGATCAACGCGTTACCTGCCAGGATAACGGACGAACACACACACGACATACAGCACAGATGTGTTCCCGTTTGTTCACACACAGCGTGCGCGGTGCTTGAGTCAGGCGGCAATGACTGCGTGCGTTGGGCTAACTCAGCACGCGCCCGCCTTGCCACTGCTTTCTGACGACAAAGGGTCGAGGCTTCGGACCTGACTCAGGAGTACGGCGTGGGAAGCGCGCACACTCGGGCATGGCACCGGCATGACATCTTTGAGGGCTGAGGTCTAAGCCTTGATAGTGAGTGCGCTTAGCCGCAAGCCTCAATGCTGGGCTTGTTGGCGAGGGAGACATATGCTGGAGGTATACGGATACGGAAGAGTACTTTCGTCCATGGGTGGCTTCTCCCTAAGTGTGCGAGCGACCAGCACGCTGTGACATCAATGTCGCCTTCTTAGAACTTGGTTCGTTGTACCGTACAAGGATCAGGGTCCGTCGCAGCTATAGGCAGCTGCCCTGATTTGAACCGAGTCAACTCTTGGCTATGGAACCACAAGTGTCCCCTTCCACGCCCGGAAGGCAGTCATGCAACCAGGTACGTCTCCAAGCCGCCGATTGCCTGGCCAATGTCGTAGGGAAAAGTCCAGTTCGTTTACAGGGTTATGTTCATTCTTCGCTCAAAGGTGCCGGCCATAAGATGATCTAGCATACTCCATTGAATCGCATGCTAGGTTAGGAGCTGAGCCTCAGCGATCGATAGCTCCCCCCTCTTGGGCGACGAAAACTAATCAGATTCGTCTTCGAGACGCCGTAAAATGTGTGATTCGTCATAATTCGCGCGGCTGCCTACTTAACACCATACATTAGGGCCATGGTAACCCGGTGTTGATCGGCCCGAGCACCACAGATTCAGTCCGATCGGCTGCGTCCTGTGTTCTTTCCCTTCCCCAAGGTATCCACTAAGGTACATAGTGTATAAAGACCTCGCTACTGTCTCCGACGCAAAAGCTCTGGTCTCCCGAGAGGCGAAGTGCCAGACCACAACGAGCCGCACTGCCAACAGAGTTCAGGTCCCATCTGTCGGACTCCTCGTCGTTTTGCACCACTCGCCATTTGCACAACTCAGCTCAGCACTGTCTGAAGCAGACAATGACATATTTACTAGCCGAAGGTGGCCGATCAACTGACCGCACTGACCATAGTGTCAGCTTCCGCACAATGAGCAATCAACGTGTGACGAGGTCTGTAGCGGAAGCTCTGCATGAATATCATAAGTCGGGCGGGTATCTGCATCAATTAGATCACCTGAAGCACAGCCGGAATCGAAAGCCGCCTGCGATTGACCACGCAGTCTCTTCACAGACTAGAGATGAGACAAGACGAATGACAGTGACGCTGCATCTCGACACATCTCAGGTGCCCCTCCCGGGCAGTATGCTCGACAACGCAACCGCTAGACATAGCGAGACCAAGACTGCATCTATCAACGAAGTCCAAGCCATTTATAATAGGCTTGTGGTGGCAGAGAACGAACGCTACAAGGCCATCCCCACCCAATATTCTCAACCGGACTCAGTGCTCAGTCATGAGCAATGGAAGGACATTGTCGCGTGTCATTATACGCTTCTGTGTGAGTACTATGACTTTTTGTCAACCACGCAGGATGACTCTGCTAGTCCAGAAATGCGTGAACTTGCGAGCAAGTATGCAATGCCAGCGCGCTTGTGGGAGAAGGGGATACGTTCCTTGTTGAAAAGACTAAACGGCTGTTTGCCTAAATCACGCGACCACATGTGTACTTTCATCGACTTGGCGTGTTTCATCATGGCTCGAATGTACAAAACGGTGCCGGCCTTTGAATACACTTGGATTGAATATCTTGGTGATCTGGGTGCATACCGGTGAGTAACATGGCTTCTGCGGCGTCGCCACCTGCTGATGACTCCAGGATCGCTATGCAAGACGGTCACTTCGAGAACCGTGAAGCTTGGACATCAACTACACGTCAATGGTACTCCAAGGCTAGTCATAGGTCTCCCTCGATCGGCCGTTTTTATCACGGATTAGCAACCTGTGCGAAAGCGAACACTCTCGAGCAGCTCTTCTTCTACACAAAGTCTCTCTGTGTACGAGTTCCGTTCCTAGACGCTCGGGATTCCCTTGCGGTGTTCTTCAAACAGAACATGGACGAGGTCTCCGGAACGTCCGTGGTAAGCACAAATTCGTACGGCTTCAATGAGACTCCTGACATCAAGCTGACGAACGAGGTGGCCGTATCTCTTGACCCGAGTCGCGTAGATGACGGAACCGAGATACTTGACCACCTGGAGTCCGAGGGCATGATACATTTGGCCTTGGCAGTCGATCTAGAGGATTCCGACATGGTGATGATTGATATCATGACTCCCGACGCGGACGAGCTCGGTTGTATGGAGCAAGAGTCTCCAGTCGCCATCGCCGTACCTCTCCACGACGAGGAGGTGACCGGAGCTATGGATATCACCACTGTCTTCGTACGCGCTCACGGTCTTCTGTTCTCTGAGAAGGACCACAATCAGTTCATTGCCCAGTCGAAAATCTTGACTAGACACCTTGCTGCATCTGCTTGCCAGTGGACGGAGCATGGATACCACATATCCATCGTCCTGCATTGCGCTCTACTTGAGTACGGTAGCGAGAGCAACCCGATCATGAGGATCATCAAACAAGGACGTGGAGACGAAGGAGACATGGCAGTCAGCGACACCCCAAACTTCGACGAGAGGCAAACCGTTCCAACTCAAAGATTTAACGACGCGCTTGAGTTTATTTCCCGTGCCCATAGAGCTGTGTTTGGCCTCCCTGGCGATGAGATGGCGTACCCCTACCTGCATGTCACCCTGGTGTTCTTGCACCACATGTCACAGTTCCCCGACGCGATGGCCTATATCGAGGAGAAGATGCCCTGGAAGAGGATCTCCTTATGTCTTAATAGCGCCATGAAATCATGTTCATC